ATGGAAAACACAAGACAGAAAGAACCGAGTGGCGGCAATGCAGATCATCAAGGTATTGCAGTTCTAGCGATATTTTTTCTCTTGCTGTAACTGTGATGGACTGACCTTCCTCTGTATTTCCTACGGCTTAAGAACTGTAGGCAGATGAAAATGCATCCAAGTATCCGAATGTTTGCAATGGCCAGATACTATTTATAGCTATATATACTAACATGAAAAGGCGTGGTCCTTTCAGTCCGTGATGCTTCGCAAAAGGCTTCATATCAAAGCATCGCATTCTAACTGATTTAGATAATCACAAGCTACCTGCAGCTCTATGCAACTTTCATATTGGGATGTAACTTTCTTACACGACTTATTGTTTACAATAAGCGATAAGTATCTTCCTTCAGTTTCCACAGAATTCTTATGCGAAAAAGCCACTTCAAGAGCAATAGGGTGGTTTAAAATAGCATTTGGTCCGGTTTCCATTAGTACACCAACGATTTACTGGTGCTAATCCCCCTACTCCCCCCCCCTCCCCTCCTTCCGCCACCTTACTCACTTCTCGCTTCTGAATAAATCATTCTGTAACTTCGTTCTGTACAGTTGAATTCAAGCAAAAGAAGTGTCTTTCTACACGGGCTGTTAGGACTGCAGCACTTTTGGTTGGCATTTTCCTGGCAGCTGTTGCTGTTTTGTCAGCTTATGCTGCAGGTGCATTTGATTCCAATCCAGATTTACCGGAAATTATGGAAGGAGAGGCTACATTTACAGGTGATGACGGCAAGGGGGAAGTTTTCCATGTTATGATCGATTACAATAGGAAGCTAATCCAACTAACCTCGTTGAATGATCAAGCAGCATCGCCGCAGTTATTTGGAAGGCGTCTAATGTCCTTCCAAGAAAACAAAACAGCAAACGGGACGCGAATTAATGCAACAAAAATCGTCATACAGGACTACGACGCGGTGAGTTCCAATGTCATACCATAGTTATCATAGTTTGGTCGGAGGAAAAAAACAAATGCAAAAACAAAATAAAAACAGAAAAGAATTTAAATAAGCCCAAAAGTAAAAAAATAATTTTCTTCCTATACCAAGAATATGAAAGTCAAAGGTACCCCATGAAAAGGTGATTTGGCATTCTAGCTTAGTTTTTATGAAGCTAAATACCATTTCGTCTCAAACTCATTGATAAGTCATCAAGTCTTGGAAAAAAGGTCACACACTCCTATTTTTGCACTTGAGGTTTAAGTTCGATTTGCCTTTTTGAGGCGGGGGGGTGTGGGGTGTAGTGGTTAAAGAGGATTGTCCCTCGGCTAATGCGACTGACCATTAATTAAACTATTATTATCATAAAAGCTGTTGTTTTGACAGTAATCTTGTACACCCAACAAAAGTGTAATTGTCACAAAGTTATATCATGACCTAAAAAAGCGACAAAACAAAATAGATTAGAAATAATTCAACTTGCGAAGTTTTTAAAAAAAGCCATGGAAACTTAGAATTCCCAAGACAAATTTGGGATTTTTTCAAGACAATGCATTGTTCAAATGTAAAAGTGTTTTTTTTCGTTTTTGCAGCATCCAATTTTTTTTTTTTTTTTTTTTTTTTTTACTGTGATAATCCATATCCTTTCACTTTAAATTTCTAGCTTGTAATTAATTCTGGCGACTAAAACTGCTAAAAACTGCAATTTTATATTAATTGAAACAGATCGAAATCCACGTAATTGCTAAAGCAAATGAACGAGCTTGCGTCAGCCTTAGAAATGTAGTAAACGAACAAAGTTTATTTACTAACCTTGCAGAAGCGAAAGTACTTTGTTGTTCCAGAGAATGGAAATTCAACAACAAAGTGCATTTATACTGATCTTGAAGAAGAAATGATTCCCAGGCATTTACTGAAGCACGCTACCCTTAAATCGGTAAGTTAGATAACTTTAAAACACAGCCAACGTTAATATTCTAATATATTACTTTTAACTCTAAATTCGGGTCGAAGACAGGATCCAGAATTGCGACTTACTAGGACAATAAACAAGTCAGTGGCATCCAATATACGACTTTCTTTCTTTCCTTTTTTGGCTGCATCAAAACGTAATGGATTTAATATGTCTAATTCGGGTTTTTCCGCCATAAATCGTCACTTACTTGACTCGTCTAATCACTGATATCAAACACTAGGCCACTAATCTCTTTTTTAAAGGAAAGCGTCGAGGGAAATATTACCCATACCCTATTTCAAGTTGATGATGACACTGATGTGGATGTTTATCGAGCCAAAGGGTACAATGGAAAGATTTACGAGGTAAAATCTTGAACCTTTTTTAGAGCAAACAAATATTATCGATAGACTGCTCTTCTCTGAGATTACATAGATCTCTATATGCATTTCCTTTCTTTTTTTCCGTCCATTGATTCTTACATCCAATTGATTGTTTCTTCAGTACTTAATTTCGCAGTTTTTAATAAATAATATCTCTCCTAGATTTACCTACATCTCCCAAACGGTAGCATTCATATGCGTTCCAAGGAAAAGGAAATGAACTTCACGGATTATAAACGTCTGAACTGCTACAGGTATATTGAAGAGAACGACACAATCGAGGAGGCCTTCTACCAGTCAAATGACTCGAAGCTTTGTAAGTTTTCACAACCGGTTTTTACCCTTTTCCCCACTAACAAGACTCAGGCATTCATTAAGGGTCATGCTTATGACAATTCAACCAACGTCAAAAGGATATAATATGAAATATCTACGTATTTTTGGATATTTTTGTAGTCTTTGTTGTTTTAAAGCGCCATCACACAGTCGTGTCTGTTTCAAACGTTCATTAAAATAGAAGCAACTAAACGGCGCTTTGACTGCTATTTTGAGCACGTATCTGAGGTATATAAGAACATTTAAGAAATATTAGATAAGAGTAACAAGATGGAAAACGAAAGGGGAACAAAGAGACTGTGCTAATTTTGATACTGGTAGCCGACAAACCCTTTCATACACAGAAGTAAATTCGTGTCCATTCTGCCTAGATCAAGAGTCAACCGAATTCGCAGATCTTGAGATAGAGAGAAACATTCAGGAAACCTCTCCCAACTTGACTCAGCTGTTGAACCAGACGACATCAATTAGCAACGAAAGTCTGGCCAATCAACTGCCGATGACTTCAAGACGCCGTCGCCGGGGGATTGGATGGCGCGAAGGGAGATTGGACTGGTGGTACGGAAACTGGTGTGGGGCTCACCAGGGTGGTTACACTAACAACCCAAAGCCATCTTGTAGGGGCGATTGCCGTACCACAAGCTACGTGAGCAGCGCCTGTCGTAAGTGCCTTCCGACAATAGACGGATTAGATGAAGCGTGTATGGAGCATGACAGGTGATAAAATGTCTCAGAATAGTTAAATTTGTTGCTCCCTTGAAAGCACAGTTTCCTGTACACATGACGACAAATAAATGGGTACATACCTCAGCGTGCCACTTCCGAGTTCTCGCGGTTTGGTGACCTGGTACCGAAATTACGGCGCGAGGATGAGGCTAAGTGCGAAGTCGTTCTCATCGGTGTAAAGAATAAATTGCCGTAGTGATGAAAATGAGAGAAAGATTCTCGAAGTAAGTTAGGGAGAGTGAAAAATTCTTCGTGGGAGAGAGGCATTTAACAGCTGCTGAAGACCTAAATGTAATAACTGTCCTAAAGTCCAAGAAATCAGCGTCTTCTTATTTGCTAGATTTAAGTCGAGAAGCATTGGCTGAAAACCTTTATTCCGATGAACTTGGCATCAAATGACAGCTGGCAAAACAGTGAGTAGGCTGACCAATTCCTCTCCATGTATCATTGGCTCAGACTCTTAAGTACAATAGATTTTGGAAAAATGTGATAACGTGACACTTGTGTGATCAGTGATGGAGTTAACAAGTCATAAACCAAATAACAAACTTGGACAAGGGAGTCCGTTGACTTGTAGGTCGATCAATTTGCAGGCTCGGATATACATTTTGTTGAACTTGGAATATTGCATTTCTAGCCCTCTATGGCTTAACTCACCTCGGTAATCAGTTCATATACCATTTAAATATAAGTGGAAACTGTTGAGTTTTCTTTTTCATTTATTTATTTATCTCTCCATTGTGTCTCCCCACGGCGGGGAGAAGAGATGTAGACAAAAAATGAAAAAAACTTGCGATCGACTATGAAATAAATGTTCCCTGTTGACCAAGCTTATACGTTCAAGATGACTGGATATTAACCTCGTTCTTTTTCCGCTTTTTTATGGACCGAGACTAAGTCGAGGTCCATAAAAACTCAACAAAAGAACTCGGCCAATACCCAACCATCTTGAGCTCACGCTTGGTCAATAACGCATATGAATATATTTCGTGCAGACCAGTACAAATCTGGCAAGGGAAGACCGTACAAAAAATGCACTTCTGAGCCCGGAATTTGTCTAACTTATAGGTCAGTGGACTCCTTTTTCCTTGTAATTTGGTTCCTAAAGTGTTAACTTCAGCTCTGATCACACAAGTATATCGTCAAAATCTTTTGCACGAAAGAGTCGGAGCCACTGAGACAAAGAGAGGTATTGGTCAGCGTTCTCATTGCTTTGATGTCTGTCAATTTGATGCGAAAAGCACATCATTATAAGGGTTTGTAGCCAATGCATCTCGACCGAGGTCTCTAGCAAATAAAAAGACATTGATTGATACCAACGAGCCTGCAATATCTCATGAATATTGGTCAGAGGATTCTTTGGGCCAAGAGCCGTAACTTAAACTTCTAAATGTGAAAGTCCGCTGTAATAACAATGCACCAGCGCAGTTAAACGATTGCATTGAAGGCTTATTACATTTAGGACCAGAAATTATTACATTTGGGACTTTATTACATTTAGGACCAAATGTTATTACATTTAGGACTTTATTACATTTAGGCCTTTAGTATTCAGCTTAATGATGGCAACAAAGGAAAAAATGGTAGAACTGTTCGATTTATGCAAGAAAGCTGCAGCGATGAAGCAGATCCGCCTATGCTGAAGACTGCAAAAGCTGCTGGGGGAGAAATATTAAATAAGTGAAGGCAAATTCCTAGTACCTGAAATTTTGGATGTTTGGATGCAAAACTTCAGTAACTTTCTAGAATTATCGTTCGGTGTTCGCATGCAGCCTGGGCAAGCCCAGCCTCAGTTACTCCTATGGCATCATTTACTATTAAGCATGATTTTTTTCCTTGCTGATTTGTAGCAAGGGCTTGCTGCAACTCGCGAAATATTGTAAACGAAACCAACTGGAAATCTGCTATCTGCAAACTAGAGTTCCTTTAGTCTCCTAATAAACTAGGAACGAGAAATTCGAGTTGCTTAAGCTACAATACTTTTCACCGACAGAAAGTCAGGACGTGTTAAAGCGATAACTGGTAAAAACGAAATTACCTTCGAAAGGCCTTAATAAACGACAGTTAAAGGGGTAAGACCTGAAACGCAATCCGAACATTTCGGAACGAATGGAAGAAACACTGTGAAATTTGCCCAGTTGTAAAATGTGGTCGCTTTAAAAAAAATTAAGGTCGGTAAAAGATAGGGAACACTGGTGTCAAAACCTTCTTAACTTTTTGGATTACATTTTCCTTTAAATGATCACAAAATTATAATTATTCAAAAAGTTCCAGTTCCCCTAAAAGTCAAGTCAAGTTTTAGCATTTCTTTCTATTAAAATGTAACTTGCAAAGCAGTATACAGTTTCTTTTCATTCTTCAGATGTCTTGCTCATGGTGAAGATGGTCCTTGGTGGTGCCAACCTATCGGAAACCGGTGCAAGTGTGACAGCCCGTTTGTATGGAGAGCCTTCTACCGGATACTGAGATGTTCATCCCTAGACTGTCGATGGCACGCTTATCAAGTCTACATGACATTTAAAAACTTTTTATCCTGTTGGTATCCCGCCAGGATCTGCTTTCCTTGGCTACGGTTTGTTTGCAGATGCAAGTGGTGTTCGTGTCCCAGGATTGTCATATACTGGAGGTGCATTTCTTTTAAGCTGTGTGCTCTCTTTGGTTCTGGAGAGGTTTTTGCTTAACTTGATAGGCGTATTTGCATAGCATAGAGAACGTTGTCAAGCAACAGATTGTCTTTAAAATTACGACATTATGACAAACTAATTGATGTTAAGAGTGATAGTGATTTTATATAGGGCACAAGAAAGAGAGTTAGACCACTACGTATCATGTGTAATTGTTGTTGCTTTTGCGAATAGCAGCTGAATAATTGGTAACCTAAGAGCTTCGAACTCCAAACCAAAGCATGAACTCCTATGAACAGAACTGTAATGAACATTCAAAGATGATTTAGATTACATAATTGCCTTTTTTTTATTTAAAGTAGAAAGAGTTCTCTTTAGTTTCCTTGTCGAGTTCACACCCCTATTTTCCAGATACAACTGTTCACAGTTTGAATTACTTACGTGGCTAGCATTCCTGGTAAACCAGTTTACAATTGTGCACGTGAATTATACCCTTATAATGGTAAATAAGTATCGAGGAAGCTGAAGTTCAGTGATCGACGGAGTTAGATTAGAGTTTTTTGAACACAACATTGTTCAAGTTACGTAACGTTACAGTTTCTTTAAGCCCTTTCAGACAGAATCAGACGTAAGTTCCATCATATCGTATTTAGTTTCATTTTCTTTCCGAATACGCTTTTTTTGTAATTAGCTTCAGACCATTTTTAATCTTGTACATTGCAATTTCCCCCTTTTAGTTTTCACCGCATGTGTATGGTACTCAGACGATAGCATTAAACGTTGTTGAATCAACTTGTGTTGTCTATTCCTAAGCTGTGGTTAACACTCCCCGAACTCCAGTGCACAACGCCCCGTGTCAATTGTATTGGGTACGCGACAAGAACTATGAACTCCAAATTTGGTGACTCTCCTTAATAAATTTATCCGTGCACGATTTGAAATGTACAAATTTAATTTCCATAGATCGACATAAGATGTCTTTTTTCTATGATAAACCCCAGGTGGTAATGCAAGATTGAAACTCTCGCAAAGGAGTTTTAAGACTGCGAGTTAGAGATTTTTGAGTGTGTTATTCTCGACCATGGAACAGTTGTACTGTTGGTAATGAATAGAATGTAGCCTTGGGATGTGCAGACATTGTACGATTGAACCCTAAACAGGAAGGACAAGGTCAAAATCTCATTTCAAAAGACAGCCGTAGATCATTTACTGGTACTCATCGTCTATGGTGAATTCGAAAGCAAGATACAGATAAAACCTACAAGTACTACTCAGTACGACATTTACAGTCAATCTCTAGCAGGAAGAATCCAGTAAGGAAGAAAAAAATGGAACTCGTTCCATTTACTACAGAGCAATTATCTTATCTCGCTAAACAAGATGCATGTCTAGCACCTATTTATGAAGGGGTATTTGCAGCAGACCAATTACCAGGATCACCAGAAAAAATTCAAGACAGAGCTTACATCGTCAACACCGACGAAATGGAACCCGGAACTCATTGG